ATGGATTAGTAGGTTCCGAGACATTTGAAGCTGACCACCAAGTAGTATCTTTAGTATCGGCATTATAGGCGTTCTGTCCCAAACATGTTAAATCGCCAACAGGTGTATTATACATTGGCCCTCTTCTAGCTAAACATACATGGCCTATAATAGATGTCTTTAAACGCCACTCCAATTTTTCTCTTACACTTACTTGATGGCCAGTTTGGGAAGGCATCTGTTGTTCATTTGTCTCAGAACCAGGGTACCATACTTCTCTTACTTCCCAGGGCCATTGGTCTCCCATATTAGTACCTCCACATACAAAGCAGTTAGTTATATTAAGACTACCTGCTATACTCTCCGCTAAATCAATAAACAGATTCTTAACATTATGGGGAACTTTATCCTCAAAACTCATCTCCTCATAAAAGGAATGGAAAACCTGATGAGTCTGAGCAGCTGTTCTCTCTGTTTCAACACCTACATATAATATGGCTCCAGGATCTGTTCCTGTACCATGTATCTGAAACCCAAAAAGACTCCCAAACATATCAATAAATTGCTGCGGATTGGAAATGGTCATATGTACAGGATTACACTCCATGGTTTTACAATACAGTGTAGTGGGCAACCTTTGGATAATCATATCTTGATCTAATGTCTTTCCCCAAGTCGCCCAACCTACACATGACCAATATGGGTAGAAGTTGAAGTCTCTATTTGGGCAGTCAGGATCAGTAGATCTTTTACTAGGGCATAAATATTTATTGTTGAACCCATAAGTTTGTTCCCATTTAAGATTACCACATACATTCCAAGGTTTTCTACTACCCGAAATCGTCTTACATGCATCAAATAATAGAATACCCGTAGAATGTATGGTGCTTATCAAAGTCCTATTTATCAATGTTCCCTGAGAGTTACTATTTTGAATTACCAACCAAATTGTACGGGGCTGGAATTGGGGATCAAAAACACTTAGCCTCACCTGATATTGGTTGACACACACTATAATCAGTATCTAAGTACCTACACCTAGACACAGATTCTTTACATTCATATTGTGAGTGCCAAATTAGGGTGTGAGCTTGTAATATCCTCACATTTACCTTCCTGAAAAATTATAAAAATACTGAAACATATAACTAAACACATCATTCTTGTGGTCTTCATCCTACTCTTCGACCGTGCAACGGCACCTCAGCTTCCCGCTCGTGAGGGCTGCAAGGATTGTTGTCCTTCTGATCCTCACTTACTTTCACAGAGGTCCCTTTGAGACATCTGGCTATGACAAGTAGTGAGGTGGTCAGGCTTTTAACCACGATATCCCGATATCCCCTCGTATTTTTCCTCACGTCACGTTCAATCTGACTGGGTTATTCGCTTAAACCGGATCTTGCAAGGATTCTCAGGATCTGGAGTAGCTTGCCATGAATCTGCTGCTGGTTTAACCCTAGAGTGATAAATCCAAGGAGTCACCTCTTTCACCTTTACAGCTGTTGGGGTAGATAAAAGAACAACATAAGGACCTTTGGACCCAATGGGACAGTATTCCATTCTTTTATCCATACTTTGTCACCCGCATGGTATGCGTGAACAGGTGGATATATGTTCACAGGTAACCTATCTTGCACCCATTTCTGTACCTCCTCCATACTTTTACCCAACTCCACAACCTGCTGCCGAGTAATTCCATCACCTAACTGACATAAGTCCCCCCTTAGATTACTGAGTATGGGAGATGGACGCCCATACATCATTTCAAAGGGAGACAGAACCATTCTTCTAGTAGGAGTACTATGTATTCACACCAGAGCTATTGGCAAAAGTACATTCCACTTGAGCTGAGTTTCTTGACACATTTTAGCCAATCGAGTCTTTATCGTTCTGTTCATCCTTTCTACCTTTCCAGAACTCTGAGGCCTATAAGTAGTATGCAGTTTCCACTTGATGCCAAGTACATGAGTCAGTTGTTGTAAACATTGATGGACAAAAGCTGGACCATTATCAGATCCTATAGAACATGGAAGTCCATATCTGGGTATAACTTCCCGTAACAGAAACCGTACATCTTCTGCTTTTTCTGTACGAGTAGGACATGCCTCTACCCAACCAGAGTAGGTACACACCGCTACCAGCAGGTAACGATACCCTCCAGATTTAGGCATCACCGTGTAATCTATTTGTAAATCTGACATGGGAAGTCCTCCCATATATTGAACTCCAGGCGGTTTGACAGTGCCTTGTCTTGTGTTGTTGCGAGCGCACTGAACACATATTCAGACAATAGCTTGGGAAAGGTTGGATAGTCTTGGAATGTAGAAATGTTTGCTGAGAGATTCTTCCATACTATCTCTTCCTGAATGGGTACCACTATGGTTCTGAACAATCTCTATGGCCAGAGATGCCGGAATCACTATTCTTCCATTTTCTAGCTGATACCAATTATTCTTCAAGTATTTTCCAGATTCAGTTTCCAACCACTTCTTCTCTTGGGTTGTATACAATGGAGTCCATTGAGACAAGGGTGCAAGTACAAGAGCAGTAACATGGTTCACGTGATCTTCTTGTCTTGATTCAGCAGCACATTTTGCAGCATTGTCTGCCATGCGATTTCCTCTCATCACATCACTATCACCTTTCAGATGTGCTCTGCAATGTATGATACCGACTTCCTTTGGTTTCCATACTGCCTCCAATAACTAAAGTATCTCTGCTGCTCTCAAGAATTCTCGCACTTGTCTTCTGTTCATGGGTACAGGTATTCGACACATTGCTTATTTTCTTTCAGGTCCCATTGTTTTTTGGCCTTCAGAGATATGGAATCCTAAATACTTGACAGTTGGCTAACACAAATGAGCCTTCTTCCTTGATACCTTGTAACCTGCCCTCCAAAGAATATGGAGTAGAACATGGGTTGCTTTTTGGCACATCTCTTTAGTAACTGCGGCTATCAAGAGATCATCCACGTACTGAAGCAATACACATTCTCCTGGGATGGATTTGAAGTCTTATAAATCTTGATTCAGTGCAGATCCAAATAGGTTAGGTGAATTCTTGAATCCTTGAGGCAACCTGGTCCAAGTCATCTGATGCTTTGATCCCGTAACAGCATCTCCCCATTGAAAAGCAAAGATGCACTGACTTTCAACAGCAAGTCGAAGGCAGAAGAAAGCATCTTTAAGATCTAGGACTGTAAAGGGAGGTGCCCCACCAGGAATTATGGCAAGCAGATTATAGGGGTTGGGTACCACTGGGTGTATATTAACTACTGCATCGTTAACTGCTCTTAAATCTTGTACAGGATGATACTCATCTGATCCTGGCTTCTGAACAGGTACTAATGGAGTGTTCCAAGGGGAGGTACAGAATTTTAGGATGCCATACTTCATGAACTTATCCAAGTAGATCTGTATGTTCTTCTTGGCCTTCTGAGGTATGTAAAACCGGCGCAGGCTCACAGGGTAGGCCCCAAGCTTTAGTTCAATATGTATCGGTGGGATATTACGAGCATGTCCTGGAGGATTATTCTCTGCCCATACTCCTGGAATGTCAAATAAAGATCCATCACTCTTAGGGTTTGCATTTGTTATTACAGAGTAGAAGCGCCATTCTTCTTCTTTTGGTACCAATACTGCTATCATGCCTGGTGATTTATTAAACTTCACAGACGTTGATCCATTAGGTAGAAAAGTTATCTGAGCTTGAAGCTTTGATAATAGATCTCGTCCTAGAAGTTGAATTGGACACTCTAGCATATAGAGGAACTGGTGCTTCACAAAATGGCCTCCTAAAATGCAAGTGCGACTCCTGAAAACCGGTCTAGCAGCGCTTCTCCCAGTAGCTCCTATTACAGTTACAGTCTTTCCAGAAGGAGGAGCTACCAACTTAGTCACCACAGAATGTTCAGCACCCATATCAATCATGAAAGGACTTCTCTTTCCCCCTATTGTTACATCAACCATAGGCTCCGCTCGGCCAAGGGGGATGGAGCCCAGTCGGTATCAATAGTCTTCCATAACAGTGTCTGCCAGACCCACAAAATCTCTATCTTCCCTATCCCTAAGTCTATGAGTAGGGGGATAATATCTTCCTTCCTGAACACCCCCTCTGCCATTTCCATTACTTCCTCCAAAACTTCCTCTTCCTCTAAAGCTACCACCATAACCACCTCGCCCCCTTCTCTCATCTGGTCTACCACCTACAATATATCCCTTCTGTGGGCAGTCACTCTTCCAATGTCCTTCCTCTTTACAATAAGCACATTGATTTCCCCCTAGTGTACCCTGCTCATCCTAGCCTCAACTCCTCTATCCATCTCCCCTCCCTGTCTCGCTACACCTACCGCTAACATGTCTGCTTTCTTCCTCATTTTACGTTCCTCCTCACGCTCAGTTTCCCTATTCATATGTACCTTATTTGCAACCTCCATTAGCTGTGATATGGAAATCCCTGCAAATCCCTCTAACTTTTAGCAGGGAGAGTGCAAACTAGGTGGGAATTTAGGCCTTAGTGTACAAACAAGTTCTGGCTACCATGTGACTCCATTGTTCCTTTTGGCACAGCTTGATCCATTTAGCAGTGTTTCAACAATCTGTATACAGAAACTATTCATCTAGCCCCAGCATATTATTTATAACAATGTAAACCTGCTGTATTAAATCTGGAGGGCCACTAGTTACCAGAACAGGTTATTCTCTGCTACACAAAGTATTTTAATCTTTTTGGGGGACAGTGTTACACCATAATCACAAACAGCATCTCTCTTAGCAAAGTTTTTTTTTTTTAAAACATACAAGATAAAGGACCAACAGTTTGTGAATCAGAAGCACCCATGATTTCAACAGAGCATCTGATTCAAAGCAGAACAAATATACAAACAGTTTCAACAGTCACACCAGTCAACTTAGCAACAGCACCACGCTGCATGGTTACTAGGCCTAAACACACACGCACAGGATCCTCACACACTCAACAATATCACAACGTCGCACACACACACAAAATAAAATCAAAAAACCCACCAAGAACTATACACTTATCAATGTAACTATTAAGCAAACCATACAATTATCTACACTATTAATCAACTTAGACTAACTGATCACATAACATTTTAGCAATTTCGTCACTACAGTCAGTGGTTATGGTATGGTTAGTAACTATTGTACAGTTAGACAATTATGGTTTTAGAGTTACAATCTCAATTAGTAATAGTTAATGTGTTACACATACAATGTTAAACAGTAATTTTAGTATTGTTCACGTAATGTTAGTGGTTATGGTACAAGTCAGTGGTTATGGTACTGTGCGCTATTTTATACTATACACACTTTTTTACAAGTCTGCTAAACGGCAGAGCTCAAGCTTTCTAGCAGGACATACATTTCACCAATTACAACGTATTTTACAACTTTTACAGCAAACCCAACTATTCTAACTAGCCAGTACCTTGAGGACTAGTGAACGGAATGTACACCAGAATTCAACTAGCCTACGCTGCCTAGGCACCACGAACTGGTGGACGGAATGTACACCAAAATCCACTGAGACTATATATTCTATCTATGATTTAGTGGCTGAATGTACAACAAAACACACTTAGTCAAGATAATGTGAGAGCTAGCAGATGGAATATACAACAGAATCTCGCTTAGTCTTGCCGGTATCCCCTGATCTAGTGACCGAATTTACAACAGGATTACACTTAGTCAAGCCAGGATACCGGTGTCTGGCTGAACATATATACACAGAATTCAGCCTGACTACAGTCCCTGTGTTAAACGGGCTAGCTACAGAGCGTTTAACTTCAGATATACGGTGCGCCTTCGTATCTTCCCTTTGTAGGAAATGGGCAGTCAGATTACTGGATACAGATTTCTACCCCTAGTGGGTTCACAGTCTTACAGTCTTACCTTTAAGTTCCTGGACCTAAGTTCACACTCATTGATGGGACACCCGGTACTCACTGCGTAGAAGCCGATGATCTCCTGGACAAGAGGCCAGTGGTGCCGAGACGAAAGGAGGTCCTCACAGTAGAAGTCCAGGGGTGCAGCCGTGGAAGATTTGATAAAAGTTTACTGTCTCAAATCTCTGCGCAGGCTTCCGTGCGATGAGATTTCCAGCTATCAATGCACCAGTTATGTTACCGGAAAACACATCAGAAGCCACACATAGAGAGATGGAAGCAGGTTTGTTCAGGAAGAAAAAGGTCTTTATTGTTACCGACTGGGTCTCAGATGAACATAGCATAGTTTGCAAATGAGCCCAGAGCATAGTTTGCAAATGCTTTTAATTAACAATAACTCCTCCTATTCCTAGCTTCACCCACACATACCCTTAGACCAATCAGTGAACAAGATATTCATGATCACCTCATATGGGCAGACCGTATGACTCCTTTTAAGGACAAAGTAATGTGACTACAGTTGATGCACATGCTCAGTACATTGATGACAGTATCTTAGCTACATGTAACTAACTAACAGATACAACAAACACCTGTACTTGTATATGCCACCTGGAGATTTCAGGCCTACTAAATTTTGAACCATGTTGAAATCCCATCACAGTTACAACAAATCTGATCCATGGAGACCTCATCTCGCAACTTGCAGGACTTAAAAGATCTGCTGTTAATGTCTTGACGCCAGATATCACAGGATGTTCAGAAGTCTTGTGGAGTCCATGTCTCGATGCATCAGAGCAGTTTTGGCAGCACAAGTGGCATCTACATGATATTAAGCAGGTGGATACACTGTTGTCGCTGATCAGTGTAAAAATATAAATTATATATTAAAGGGTAAACGGCGTTGCAGAGGAGGTTAAAATCTCTTCTATAACTTACCTGCATCCAGCGCCAATGTCTCTTGGTGCTGGCTTGGGTCCATTTTTGCTCCTTATGCCGGCGTGGGAAACCTGATGAGCATGTGCATCAATGGCCACACTCGCATTATAGAATGCATTCCTATGGGGTTTTGGGTGACGCTGGGCGTCCCCATGCATAGTGTGAGGATGTCCAGTGTCAGGTGATCAAAAGTCACCTAACAGCCCGGAAGTCCCTCTAGTGGGACTTAACCCTGTTAACCCTGAAAGGTCATTATTGTAGTTTCTTAAAACCTGTAATAATTACCTTTGCAGGGTTAAGGGACCTGGGAATCTGTACCCAGAACACTTCAATGAGCTGAAGTGATCTGGGTGTCTATAGTGTTCCTTTAAAGTATATAACACAAATAACCATTACATTATAACACTATTTTTTGTCCTCTTTTATCCCTTCTCTTTAAATAACTAAATGAGTATTCTGAGTTTAACCTTTACAGGTTCTTAAGACCTATACAGCCAAAGCCTAATTTGAGGCTATGGTTATTGAGTTCGCATTTATCACTGAAATTATCCATTAACTTGTACCAAACATATTAAGTTTATGCTGCTGTTGTTTTTTTTACTTATCAGTACATGACACGTTGACACAAAAACATTTGTTCTTGAAGACATATAACTTATATTTTTGTTAAAATATGCACTCCACTTAATTTTTTAAGCTCAAACCTTTACTAATGTAGTATAAGAATGAAAAGCCTGTCAAGACCAAACCACCTTCCATATAATCTGTATCACCTTTTGCTGTTTCCTTAACTCAAGGCAACTAAATAGTCATAAATCAAAGAACAGTGCCTTTAAGGATTACTCCAAGTCTCAACCACTACAGCGAGTTGTAAAGCCAGGAGTACCCTGACCCACTTCTCTGATAATGAATCAAAGCATGTAGCAATGGTTTGCCCCCTTATCTAGGTCCCTGCTGGGCTCCGATGCTCCATGGTGGTACAGTGACGCAATTCCAACTTCTGCAGAGCTGCAGAAATCACAAGCCATGGCTCTCAGTCAATGACTGTCTTTCTGTGCAATGAAAGGTGCACAGAATTGACATTAGCCAGCTCAGAATCTAGTGTTTCACGGAAAGAGGCTGCACATACAGACTCAAGGCACCATGACCATTTCAAATCAATTAGGTAGTCTAGTTATGGTGCTTGGAGTAACTCTTTAAGTAACGTAACAATCTTCCAGGAACCATTATTCTCTCTTATAGCTTGGAATGATGTGGACTATAGTAGCTGCACATAAATACTTCTATATCACTCCCCTCCCAGTCCCTTTATCCTACAAACCTTAAACTAGGTTTACAAACCGATTAGCTCTTCTAAGCTTTAAGAACTCTGAAACCCAACTAAGGCTCCAATTTAATATTTTTGGATAAGCGTTTCAAATGATATATTTTAGATAATTTTTTACAATTATTTAATATTATTAAAATACTTTAAAATAGTTTGATATTTTTGGATATATTGATATATCCTTTTATGTACGAAATATTTTTGCTATTTTAATATTTTTTTATATAATTCTAAAAGTTTATCTAAAAATCTTAAATTATTGGAAAAGCTTATAAATCTTTATTAATTCAAGGCATAAATTGGCCTGTCAGCTTATGCACAAGTATATTTTAGAGAATCCCGCAGACTGATACATTTTTTTCTTTGTATGTGAGATTTACCACATTTGGGATGAATGATGTCATGACATATAGTAACAAAACAAAGAGGGTATTCTATTATTTCCTAAAATGTACACCTGCCTGACACTACAAGGCTAGGTAATAGAACACACTATTGTACCTCACCTTTAAATTACATTTATACATATTAATTTATTGACGTCTGACTAAATGGGTACAGATAAATTAAAAGTAAACACGGAATTCAGCTATAGTTATAAAGTTATAAATTAAAATTTCAGATAGATATTCTAGTAGGCAATAACCCAAAATTGTTATTGTGGGATAATTAGTTAAAAATTTAATTTGTGAACATGAAGATGGAAGCTTTACAGAATTTATAAAAGTACTAATGTGAAATGACTTTGAAATGTATAAGCACTTTATTAGAATAAGTAAACTACATTAAACTAGTAGAAAAAAAACATCTAATTATCTACAGGATAGTCTTTACTTAATATTGTGCTTGGTGCGATAGACGCTAATTGTGACCCAATGGGTTTGATTGCAAGTGAACCTGCATCATCCGTTTGATGTTTTGTGTTAGGGAATTCCAATTAAATTGTAAGATGATGTCATCTATGAGCATTTCAAAGATCATATAAAGTATTAGCTGTTTGAAATAGACTTGCTGAAAACGATGCTGAAAATCCGTCTTTATCATTCTTTTAATGTGTTGTAGTAGCCTAAAGGCACTGCAAATTCAAAGAAGGAAGGACCACAAGGATTAATATTTACAACAAGAATGTTTCCAATATTTACAGAGTCCTTATATCCAATTATATTAACCCCTTAACGCCGTTAGGGTGTACAATGCCTCCCAGCATTTAATGAGCCTAAACGCCGCTAGAGCGGCATGGTAGGCCCTAACGATCGTTAGCTCCCCTGTCCCTGCTGACTTACCTGGACCGGCGATCCCAATTCGAGGGGACTGCCTCTCGAGACAGGCAGTCCCCCTGCTTCCATTGTGTCCCTCCAGGGCCATGTGATCGCGACGGACGTCCCAAACACATGGCCGGAAAGCAGTCTATGAGACTGCCTGCAGGAGGACTGCCTGAGTGTTCAGACAGTCCCCCTAGTGCCTAAAAATAAAAAAGTTAAAATCACACATTACTATAATATATTCTACATGTATTATAAGTTAATTAAATCACCTGATTAGCATATTATGCATGTATAATACATGTATCATTTAATTCTTACTGTATGTTGGTATTAATCTATATATTAATACCAAAATACACTTAGTATTATATTATATAGTATTATATATGTATAATATGCTAATCAGATGTTTTAATTAACTTATAATATATTATACATATATTAAAAAATATACGTAAATTTTGTTGTTTTTTTTTAAAGTAATGTCAGAAGCGCATCTTGATATTTTAGATATATATATATATATATATATATATATATATTTGTGCTCGGAATTTAATACGTAATGGATAGTGTCTGAGATGAAAGTTGGTATCTGGTGTGCCGAAAACCAACGTACGAGTGGGCTTGTAAATAAAAGAGGGCCCACCAAGGAGAGCTGTAATGCTATAAGGGTGTAGCTGGGTGGGGACAATCAACTTTACCGACAGAGGTGAGTAGGGGCTGGGAGTTTAAGTAGGGGACTTACTCCTCCCAAAAATTCAGGCCTGATGGTCTTTCTACTTGTGCTCGGAATTTAATACGTAATGGATAGTGTCTGAGATGAAAGTTGGTTTGTGGTGTGCCGAAAACCAACGTACGAGTGGGCCTGTAAATAAGGAAAAACACACTTTATTGCATTTAGTGCATAACCAAATTCCTGAAGGCTTGGCGAAGCTCTCTTTCTGGTTGTGGTATGTACGTATGGTATATGGAGGATTTCCATCGACCTATTCTCTTGATGATGTGAACCGGGGTGTTTGTACTAGAGGCTGATGAAGCGGCTCCTATGCGGAAGGAGTGACCAGAGAACAAAGCCGGGTTGTAACCCAGTTTTGCCAGTAAGGTTCTGACGTGCGTTGTGAATTTAGCAGTGGTGAGTGGGTGCCCTTGTAGCAATAAGAGCGGAGAGCCTGGTAAGTGAGTATGATGAGTTGACCGTAGATGGTCTAGTGCCTTAACCGGACACCAAGCATTATCAGTGGGAAAGAGGGGAATAATAGTGGGGTGTAGTGAGTGATTAATTTTGGTAGATGGGAGCGTGAGTACGTAGTGATCTTCCACCTTAGTGAGGTGTGAAGTTTTTAGACTGTGTGAGATATCCCCTAGACAAACAACGGTGAATTCTCTGGGTCTAAGGAAACCATAAAAAGCTAGATAAATTGCAGACTTGATCACCAAGTTTGTGTTAGGATCGAATGGGGATTCATCAAGTAGATTGCTGAGTAATCTAAA